ATAAAACCAGGGGAATATAAAAAATTTATTGGCTTTAGTTAACAGTTCATTGATAATGATTGATCAATACTGTAAAATGTACAAATATCTACTGAGAGGGGTTCACAGGGGAAACAAGGCCTGGGGCATGTACCATACTCCATTTGTATCTGCAATTTTTCTAAAATTCTTAATCCATTATAAAATAAAATATTTGTCAAACTTACATGTTTAAAGAGAAGAAGAAATATCCTGTATTATTGATTCCTTAATGACTGTCTTTTTGTGCACACTAACATTTTCATATAAGGTCAGCCCTGTACCTCAGTATTAGCATTTGATAATTTAATGTTAAAGTCTTTATCTTGCAATAGATTTTACTCTGACTTAATAATGGTGAAAATTCAACATGATGAATTTTAGAGAGAGTTATAGTTCAGCACCCAATAGATACAAATTGGTGATATCTTTGTCTTATCTCAATGCTCTATAATATATATGTATATATCTGAAGCAGCTGTCCAATGTACACTTTTAACTGGTGTTTCTAAAAATTTGAAACCCATATTTTGGCTTTTAGCTTTATCACAGATAAACTTGTTACTTATCTTAGATTAAAAAAATAAGTATCTAGATATGGTGGTGATATTATCTGAGTAAAAAAAAAAAATCATCACACCTGAACTTCATTAAACACTAAATATTTGCCAGTCACTATGACTAGAATTTTCTATAGGACATATATTTCAATTATCTTACAATATTGATTTAATATAATTTAGCTTTTTATAGAAGAACCTCATAGGCTATGTGGCTTTAAAAGTAAATATTTTTCCTTAATAGTCTGGAGGCTAGAATAGGCAAGATTAAGGTGCTAGCAGAATTGAAATCTGTTGAGTTCTCCTTTTCAGACAAAAATGAACTTTTGTCCTCATACGGCAGCAATAGAAAGAGCGAACCTTTTCTGGCTTGTTCTTAAATAAGGACACTATAAGAACATTATAGCTGTCCTTCTGACATAATTTTGACTAGTACAATTATCTTCCAAAGTCTCTATTTCCTAATACTGACACATTGCAATTAATGTTAAACTTATGAACTGAGCATGCTGGTACAGGCCTGTATTCACACTACATAGGAGGCTAAGTCAATAAAATCATAAATTGGTGGGCTGTTTGGGCTATATAGTAAGTTAAAAAATAGCCAGAGCAACTTAGAAAGACCCCAAAACTAATACTGGAAAATGTGACCAAGTTACATCACTCCTAAGTATATACTCCAAAGATTCTACATCTAACTGAATACTTGATACTCACATATTCAAGTTTATTGTTGCTCTGTTCACAGTAACAAGGAAATGGAATCAATCCCTCCATCAACAGATGATGGATAATGAAAATGTGATTAACATACACAACAGAATTTTATTAATCTATAAAAATTAAAATTACTTGAGCTGGAGAGTTGGTTCAGCAGTTTAGAGCACTTGTTCTTGCAAAGGACCTGTATTTGATTCCTGGCAGCCACATGGCAGCTCACCAACATCTGTAACTCTAGTTCTAGGGGATCCTACACTTTCTTCTGACTTCCAGAGGCACAGACATGCAAATGGTGCAAACATACATGCAGGGAAAAAATACACACACAATAAATCTGATAATTTTAATTTTTAAAAAGGAAAAAAGCCTGTAGAGACTTGATGCCCCAGGGTGGGGGATAGCCAAAGGAGCTGCAAAGGAGAGGGGTGATTGAGGAAAGAACTCTGCCAGAGGAGACTGGGAAGGGGCAACATTTGTGACGTAAATAAATAAAATAATTAATTAATAAAAAATAAAAAATGAAATTTGCAGGACAATGTATGGGACTGGTAAACATATTAAATGGTACAACACAAACCTAGAAAAAAATATCATAATTTCTCCCTATATGAGTTTTAAGGAATGTAAACACTGAAAGTAAAATGGCTTATCAGTGTCAATTGGATGATAAGTAAAACATAAGATTCTCATATGTTATTAAGGTAGTGATAGAGCAATAATATACACTAATTAGAGATTATTTAGGGTTGTGTTATTCCACTAAAGCCACAGACATATATATATAATAAAACTTTTCTTGTTAATTCTCAATTAATACAGGAAAATGATGAATTAATTTATTTTGTTAAATCTTGTTTTTTTCTCATGAAAATCAAGACTTACTGTTACTACTACTACTACTACTTTGATGTGGTCCATGAGAAGAAGAGCACTGTTTCACATGATTTAAATTCTCACCAAAAAATATGCTGATCTTTATTGATTTTGCTCTTCAATAATTCTAAGAATGTTTTAGATGATTTATTAAAAATATTATTTGCTTAAAGTATTGGGATTGGATCCACGCTAGAGAAAAAGAACATCAAAATAAATGAGGGGAGTAAATAATGTGCAATGCATTTTTCATAACAAAATGAATATCCAAGTTGATGCTACTTTGTTTCAAAAGATTAAGGAGGAGTAAAGGTGGAAATGACATAAATATAATAACTATGGTATTAAATTTTCAAATTAAATTTAAAGTTAAAAAATGAAGTGAACGAATTTCCTTCAACATTTTATCAATAGCCATTTGTGAAGACACCGTTTCATTAAGAAAAAATTAAGTAGGTCCCATGATGGCGACTAAGAACAGCCGATCATAAAGGTTCATACAGAGACGTTCCATTACCTGCACTTAGACCAAAAGGGCCAAGTTTCATCCTTCGTGTGGACTTCCGTAATGAACATCATCTCAGAAATAAAGGTCTTAAAGTCTTAAGAGCAAGAGTCGCTGTGGACTCAACCTAAGGCACTACAGTGTATCAAATACTCAGACTTCTACATGGAGGGAGCCCACTCACCCCACACCAGAGGTGGCGCCAGGAGAGTAGTGTACATAGTGTGCCTCTCTTCCTTCAGGATGCTTTCTTTGGTGACAGAGGTCACTTCCTCCTGTAACACTCGGGTTCCTGGCGCGAGGAGACGTATTCAGGAGCTCCAACCGAAGCTAAGCTCTGCCTCAGCAGAAGCAGGAATCAGGCTCAAGTTTCAGCCAGAGTCAAGGTGAGGAGATGAATGAGATGGAGAAAGGCCCAAAGTAGAGTTGAGACCCCCTGAAGCTTTATTTTTATTCTCAGTCACCTGAAAAAGTTTCCCTGCTCCCAAGAGTTCCACGAGGGAACAAGGGGGCGGTCTCCATTTCCGGTGTCCGCGCCATTGTTTTTAGGCTTGGATGCCCTTAGATGAGAACATCCTTAACACTCGGCTGCAGACATACTATCTTGGATTTAATTCTTAATCTATGCCCTCTGAGTGGGAAAAGAAGCATCACTTCCTTTAGAATCAAGAGGCAACCTGTTCTCAGTAGGTGCTCTGTTAACTGGGCCGCACCTTCCTTCGGCCCCACCGGTGCTCATGTTAAGTTATGGCCAGTCTTAGAGAATAGTGTCCCTAGTCCCTATCTTTCAAACCCGTAAGCTATGCTCTTTTTCTGGCTGACTTTTTCCTTTCTGCGAGCTTAGATGATACTCCGTCCTTCAGAAACCAAAGTGGGGGTGGGGGGAGCAGGTGCAGAGTCGGTAAGGTAGCTGGCGGTTTTTATTTTCTTGGTCAAAGTAGGAAGTCAAATCTCCCATTCACGAAAGCTCTGTGTTCACTCTCATCCACGGGACTCCCCAGTTGCACCTTATTCTTAGTGGTTTTTTTTTAGATTTATTTTATTTTTAATTATGTGTATCTTTGTGTGGGGATATGCATCCTGGGTGCAGTTACTGGTTAAAGCCAGAAGAGGGTGCTAGACACTCTGGAGCTCTAGCTACTGGTGATTATAAGTCATCCTCATTGGGATCTGAGAATGCAACTTAGGGTTTTCTGTCGGAGCAGTATGGGCTCGTAAACAGTGAACCATCTCTCATGCTCTACTGTCCTCACACTTGAGAAGTCCGGAGTTGACTGGACCAGTAGAGATCCACAGCTCATTTTGCCTCTAAGGTTTCTAGAGTTAGACGGTAAATAAAACTAGGGAGCAGAGGCAGTGAAAAGCCCATGTTTACAATGGGAAATACTAGGAAAGTTACTGAGGTGAAGATAGAAGGTAAAGCTGCCTTCGTTAAGCAAAAAGAGTATCATGTTCTATAGGAAATTAAAAGGCAGAATGTTAAGTGAGTTCTGAAGAAATCACCCATCTTAGCAGAGTCAGGAAGCTTGAGGCCTGTCTCTGCTATCAGTCCTGAGAGTCTCCGAGAAAATCTGTTTCTACCTGGAAATATGATGAATTCAATGTGAGTAGAAGAGCCTTAAATCAGCACAGAGAAGTATCTTAAATATGCCCAGAAATCAAGGTAAAGAAGCAGGAAGACCTATGTAAGCCCTTCATTAATGGAAATCTGAATTGACTGGGAAGTTGTGATGGAAGAGACACTGGCTTACTCTGGTGCTATGACATATGACGTGGTTGGTGCTTATAATAATAGTAGTGATATGTTTGGTTTTGTGTTTTGTTTTTGTTTTTTGGAAAGGAGTTGAACTAAATCCATACTAGGGTGATTTCTGAGTATTTTTTTTTTGGGGGGGAAGGGGCTAAGGTATAGAATATTGTCTAAGCAGGAACTAGAATTTCACAGAAATGGCAGCATCAGAGTTGAAAAAGGAGACCAGATCAAAACTTTTCAGGTGGAGATATGAATTGAGAGAGACTGAGAGGCTCCCTGAATCTCAAAACAGATGTCCTCCTCTGACACCCCCCCCCAAATTAGGTAAATACAACACAGGCAAGGTAGAGAGGTCCCAGGCTAGAAAAGTATCTACCTTCCTACTCATAGGATAAAAGTTTTAGAACAGCAGTATATCGGATTCCAAAAACTGCTCACAGAAACCTGCAGTGGCAGCCTTACGTAACTTGCACACTATCTCTGTGTTCATATCATCTTTTGTTTGTTGCAGGTATCTGCATCTCTAGCATCCTTCTACTACTTCCTGTACTTTAGCTTAACCAGAGTCATCATGCCTCGTGGTCAGAAGAGTAAGCTCCATGCCCGGGAGAAACGCCACCAGGCCCGATGTGAGACTCGGGCTTATGAAGATGCTCAGGAAGCAGCAGAAGAAACATCAGAAACAGCAGAAGAGTTTTCTGCCGCCTCCCAGAGCCAGCCTGTGGCTGAGTCTTCCAGCCCTCTCAAAGAACCTCAGAAAGCAACATCCACTTCAACACTTATTCTGAGTAGCTCTTCCTCAGAATCAGATGAAAGCTCCTGTGAGGAAAGTGAGCCACGTATGCAAAAGGGGTGCCCTTTTGAGCCCATCCCAACCACTACCATTCTGCACCAAGATATGATTGCAAGGAGAGCAATGGTTCTGCTACAGCACCTGCTCCACAACTACAATTTGAAGCAGCTCACTACCAAGGAAGAAATGCTGAAGGTTATCACCAAGAAGTATGAAGACGACTTTCCTGAGATTCTCAGGAAAGCCTCTGAGAAGCTCGAGGATGCCTTTGCAGTGGAAGTGAGGGAAGTCAACTCCAGTCAGCCCTCATACAACCTCATCAGCAAGCTGAAGCTCCCCAACAATGGGAGGATCCGTGCTGGCAGAGGCTTACCCAAGACCAGTTTCCTGATGAGTGTCCTGGGTATCATCTTCATTCAGGGCAACTGTGCCAGTGAAGAAGAGATATGGAAAATCCTGAAGAAGAAGCGAATCTATCCAGGGAAGAAGCACCGCATCTTTGGTGAGCCCCGGAAGCTCATGACCCACTATTTGGTGAAGCTGAAGTACCTGGAGTATCGGCAGGTGGCCAACAGTGATCCTCCAAGCTATGAGTTCCTGTGGGGTCCCCAAGCCCATGCAGAAACAAGCAAGATGAAAATCCTGGAATATTTGGCCAAGATCAACAAAACAACACCTAGAGCCATCTCAATCCTTTATGAAGAGGCTTTGAAAGATCAGCAAAAGCAAGCAGAAGCCAGAGATGAAGATAATACTGACACCACTGACCAATCTACTGAAGGCTCCCCAGAAAAATCACCACCAGCTTCTCCCACCCCTGTTGACACTTGAAGGTTTCCTGTCATCAAAAAGACAATGCATCACAATTTTTCTTGATAATATAAAGTAGATATACAGTTAGAAGGGTTAATAGATGTTTAAACCTAGTTTCCTTTCATTAGTTTTACTGTGTGGTTTGGTAAAGTTACATGCAATTGAATATGATTCTTGGTTTATGCAAGAAATTTATAGAAATTAAATGTTATGACTTAAAATTTATTCTTCTTGACTGTTACTCACCAAATGTATAATTAGCACTCATGCTTTAGAAGTCATTGGTCAAACTGGGATGCTAAAATAAATAATTACCTTCTGCTTTTATAATTTGTAAGTATATGAACTGCAGTGCAACCACTATGATGTTGAATACCCATTTATTGGTTAAGTTCTAGTGAAAAGAAGGGATGTGGATGAGGGAGTTTCTTATGAAAGTTATTAAGTGGAAATACATCTACTAAAAAACATGTGATGTGGGGAAACATTGACTAGCATAACAGGATATATAACTTTCACTGGCCATGTGGGTGGTGATCTAACTGAAGTGGTGAGTAAATAAGTTCAGCTGATGTGCTTCAGAGTCAAGGGGCAGAATTATGCAAGTTCATGCTGGCTTCTGTAACAAAATATGCAATGAGTGGGTGACATGCACCATGTTAACTGATCGTAATTTTCTACATCTCAGAGGCTTGGAACTACAAGATCAGGCTGTCTAGAATTCAACTTCCCAAGGACAGTATATTTCCTGATGTATAGAGAAGGGAGGGAAGGAAAGAAGGAGGGAAGAGGCAGGGATCGAGAGAATGACAGAGAGGAATATGGGAGAATCATAGAGAGAAGTGGAAAGGCAGAAGAGGACGGAGGAGGGAGGAGAGAGGAGGAGAAATGAGGGTAGAGGTGATGGGGAGAAAATTAGGGGAAATAGGTGAAAGGAGAGAGGGGAGAAATGGTAAGGGGAGAGGCATGGAGGAAAAAGTGAAAATATACTCTTTTTTATAGGGCCTTGAATCCAGGAATGGGAGCTTACCCTCAAAACATCATAAAATCATTATTACTTCTGAGGACCATCATTATAATTCTATCACATTTTATAATAGTTTTTCAGGGTAATTTAAGGATTGTGACTTTTTCCCATTAAGTAATTAATTCATTCATTTATTCATTTTTCACTTTATATCTTGGTCACAGTCACCACCCCAGTCCTATCCTCACATATCCCTCCCCCCATTACCCATCCCCTTTTCCTCAGAGAAAGAAAACTCTCCTTGGGTACCAGCTTGCCCTAGAACATCAATTCGCAGCAGGATGAAGTACATCCTCTCCCACTGAGGCCAAACCAGGCAGTCCAGCTAGGGGAAGGGATCCAATGGCAAACAACAGTCAGAGAGACCCTGCTCCAACTGTTAGGGAATCCACATGAAAAGCAAGCTTAACATCTGCTATAAATGTGTAGGGGGGCCTAGGTTCAGTCCCTGAATCCTCTTTGGTTGGTGGACAATGTGAGCACCCATGGGCCTAGGTTAATGGATTTCATAGGTCTTCTTGTGGTGTCCTTGACCCCTCTTGCTCTCTCAAATCCTATCCCCCATTTTTTTCACGGTGTTTCCAAGCTGTTTGGCTGTGGGTCTCTGCATCTGTTTCCATCCACTGAAACCTCTCAGGTGACATTTATGCTAGGCTTCTTTCAGCAAGCATAGCAGAAGAGTATCATTAATAGCATCAAGGGTTGGCTCTCTGCCATTGGATGGTTCTCAAGTCAAGCCAGTCATTGGTTGTGCATTCTCTCAATCTGTACTCTGTCTTTATCCCTGCATTCCTTGTAAGGAGGACAAATTCTTGATTGAAGGTTTTGTGGGTAGTTTGAGGTTCCCCTCCATCTGCTAGAAATTCTGCTTGGCTACCGTTGGTGGTTACTTCAGTCTCCATTTCCTCCACTGCTAAGAGTCTCAGTTAGTGTCACCCCCATAGACTCCTGGAAGCCTCCCGTATCCCAGGTCTCTGGCCAGTCCCACAGCTGCCTTCCACAGATGTCTGTTCTCTCTCTCAGCCCTCTCCTGCACTCCCACTCCCCATACTTGATGCCAGTCTCTGTTCCCCTTCTCATATCCTCTCCCACTCAGATTCCTGCTCTACCCACCTATTAAGTCTATTTTATTTCCCCTTCTGAGTGAGATTAAAGCATCTTCCCTCCTTATGTAGCTTCTTTGGGTCTGTGGAGTATAGCCTGGGTATCCAGTACTTTATGGCTAATATCCACTTATAAATGAGTACATACCATGAGTATCTTTTGGGTCTGGGTTACTTTACTCAGGGTATTTTCTAATTCCTCAATTTGCTTGCATTTTTTTGTGCTCCCTTTGTTTTTTTACCAATCAAGTTGAAGTTTTACTTCTCATATATTCATGTATATTTGGCCTTCTAGTGGAGTGCGGTCAGCCTACCAGTCAGCTGCTTTTTTGTGGGAACTAACTGTAGAGTTCCCATGTAAAATAGAGTATCTCGTTGAGAAGTGGAAACAGTTCAGGATACAGATTTGTATGGAGTTCACCAGAGATCCACTGTCAGGATATACATAAATGAATCAATTAATCGTCTATGAGCAAATATATATACCCTGAGTCACTTCTGTGTGGTTTCACTAGTCACAGCTAATAAATAACCTGAGAACTATATTTCAACATGGATTTTATCAGTGGTATTTATATCATAATAGGTGTAGCACCATCATTAATCCTTACTTAGTGTTCTCAATTTGACTTCTTGTGGGGAATCCAATTCATCTTTCTTAACTGCTGCCATCTTCTCATAATAAAACCCTGACCTCTCTCAGATCCACTATAGGGAAGAGACACCAACCTACCTTGGCCATAACTATCTGTAGTTTGCTAGCACAGCTTGTCTGGTGAGTCAGTGAAGATCTGTACATTATACTGCATATAAATTTAATAGCACTTTTAAAAGAATCATAAAAAGTAGAGAAAAATAAATATTTGGGGGAGAAAGTGTAAACAAAAATTATTCTGCAACAGAGAAAAAAATAGATATCAAGAAAACTCTGTCACTGTCCATGAGAGATCTACTCTTTCCTGAAGAGAAATGGAGGAAGAATGGATGGGGAGTACATAGGGGAGGGACTAAAAGGGGAAGAAGGAGGGGAAACAGTAACAAAATTTTAAAAAGAGAAAAAAATAATATTAAAAATATATTTTCTAAAGGATGGAGCAGAAATTGAGAGGGTGGCCAACTAGTGACTGGTCCAGCTTAAAATCCATGAGGGGGAGCCTATCCCTGACACTGTTAATGATATCCTGCTATACTTGGAGACAGGAGCCTAACATAATTATCATCTGATAGACTTCACCTAGCAGCTGATGAAAACAGATGCAGAGACTCACAGCCAAACACTAGGCAGACCTTGGAGAATCCTTTGGAAAAGGAGTAAGGGAAGGACTGAAGGAGCCAGAAGGGTCAAGGACACCATAAAAAAAACCCTACAAAATCAACTAACCTGGGAATATAGGGACTGATCCACCAACCAGAGAGCATACATGGGACTGAGATGGACCTAGGTCCTCTGCACATATGTAACATTTGTACAGCTGTGTCTTCATGTAGGACTCCTAAAGCAGAAGCAGGGACTGTCTCTGACTACATTGCCTGCCTTTGGATCCCATTCCTCTAACTGCAACTTGATACCAGAAGGCTAGCTGATACTCATGGGAAGCCTCCCCTTTCTGAGAAGGGGAAGAGGGGTGGATGGGTTAAGGTGAGGGGGGGAAACAGCAATTGGGATGTAATGTAAATAACTTAATTAATAATAATAAAAGTATTTTCAAGGAGAATTGGCATGCAATGGTAGCCTTGAAGAATATTAATTACTCTGAGACTAAAACTGCTAAAGGAGGATTAGAAAAATAGGTACCTTTGGAGAAAATATTATTTATCAGTTTCTTCCAAGATTAAAACCTTCCTTCTAAGGGGATAGCTCAGTAAGACATAGGATGTTTACAGGAAGATTTAAAAAAAAAACAGGGTATTCTATGAGGAAGTGAAATATTCCATCTTACAAGAAAGCCTGTTAGACTCTGGAAAGAAACAACTTGAAATAGCTTCCAGAAGTCCCTGAAACTAGCTAGATTTACTAGGTCCTTCTTTCCTTAAGTATATTTAAGCAGTAAAGACTGCCAAAGCTAACTCTCAGAAAGTTGAGCTGCCTAGAAAGAGCTAAGACCAATCAATCTAGAAGAAACAGACATCAACCAAGATACCTAGAAGAAGCAGAGACCAGCTAAGTTGGCTGCCTGGAAGAGCTCAAATGAAATGAATTATGTAAGGATACCCTCCAACTTGTAGAACTGCCTACATGTTGTGCAGTGTGCTCTAGGTTTCCAGCTTCTGTGAGCTGCTACCCATGCAGGGGTGGCATTGGATGATGCAGTTGTCTTTAATTTCTACTGCATAAATAAGCCCTGATCTATATTCCAGTAAGTACCTCAGTAAAACTCAAGTGTGACATAGGGTGCAATTGTTACTAAGGTTTTTCATAGGTTCCCTATCTGGAGTGAGTACACATTGGCAAACTTATAAAATTATTTACATTTCTGTCTTGGGCAATGGTAGAATAATTGATTATGTTGAAGTAGAGAATATAAGAGGAGCAGTATGGAAGGCTAGGAAATTGAGTCTCAATTTTTGAGTCTCAACAAGACAACATAGAATGCACTTTTAATATACACACTGGGGAGGTGGAGTCAGGTAGAACACTGACACTCACTGTCCATCAATCCCAGCCTACTTGGCAAGTTCCAGGGCAGTGAAAAGCTCTATCTAAAGAAATTAGTTAAACATGAATTTAAAAGAATAACAACTAAAAATATACTGAAGATTATGCTATAGCTGTCACATTCATGTGCACACATATCTGTGTACAAACACACACAACATACAGTTAGAGCTATCTAATAGACTGTAGGCATCAGTTCTAAGCCTTTTTCACTGAAAAAGTATAGTATCCA